AACCTGACTTATGGTAGATGACAAATTAACATTCTTCTGGAATCCCTTGTATTTATATCTTGGAGGGAAAACAATGGTAATTTTTTTTCCCTTCTAGCTTCGACAAATGACTTGTAAGGAAAATCTGAGTGGATGACCTTCTGTAACTCCAAACCAATATAATGATTAGATTCTACACTTGCCCTACTAATATAGAATTTACCTCCAACTCTTCTTTCTTCTCATAGATAATTCAAGATGCATATAAATGTTTTTTTTTATCCAATAAACATTTGTGTGCAGCAGCTACCATTTGAGAGTAAAAGGAATTATTGATGTCATTATGGCAATCACTCCAAAAACTTGTCAAGCTGCTGAAAACTTTTGCATGATTTTTATAACACAATGATTCTGGGAAAAAAATCCTGCTTCTGACATACAGAAGAGGAGGCTATACTCCAAAAAAATGTGATTTCTAAATAAAAAGATACTTCTTATGTATACGTTCCATAGAAGATAGAGAAGAATAAGGCATGGTGTTTTCCTTTCCCATGTATTTGTCTACTGGAAGAAAGAACAGTTTTGATAATTGAAAACTGAACACTAAAGAAATTAGTATCAATGGTTTCCACGAAAGCCAACAAATAAATTGTATAATTGAGAAAGCCAGATGTGCTGTACCCCTGTAATCCCATTGAATTGGGAAGCTGAGTCAGGAGGATCACAAGTTGGAGGCTAGTCTCAGCAACTCAGTGAGACACTGTCTCAAAAAAACCAAAAACAAATCCCACAAAAACTAAAAACAAAACAAAACAAAAAAACCAAAAAAGACTGGGTGTGTGTATCAGTGGTAAATCACCTCTGGATTTAATCTCCAGTAGTAAAACAAAAGTCAGAAGATAAGCTTTGGTTACTTCTTGGCTTGTGGCTTTTTTTTTTTTTTTGGTTTAAAATCAAATGAAAAATGGGAGAAACAATTTTTTTTTAATTGGATTAGTCAAAAATTTATAAGAGTAAGAAGAAACTCATAATGTCAAGAACCATGTTGAAAGCTACCCTTTTAATCCTTCCAACAATAAGACTTGGTGAACTTCTAAGACTTCTATTGATAAGAAAATTGGGTGATTCTAATATCATATGATAAATATGCTCATTGCAATTTTTGTCTCTTCATTCTTTGGCATGTCTCATCTCTCTCATCTCCCTTTTCTGGACCTTTGTCTGTCATCTTTCTTCTTCTGCACTTTTTTTTTTTTAACCTGCTACTAATCTGATTCTCCAATGCCTTTCTCAAAATCCAAATTACATTTAAAATATTCCAAAACACTATTTTGCACTCCAACTCAAAAAATCTTGTAAAGTATGATGATATCATGGGGGAAAATACCCCAGCTGATTTTAGTTTTTAATTACTATAATATTTAAGCAAAAGACAATACCAATTTCTGCCTTGGTAGCTGTGGTCATGTATTGGGGCCTGCAGTTTTCTAATATCCTTGGCAATTGCTTTTTGGGAAATCCCTTTCATTAAGTAGTACAAATTAATATTATAAAAGTCCTAAGAATCCCAATGACAATTTGTACCTATATTAGTCACCAAAAACCAGTAAGTAGGTGGTAAGAAACCACAAGAACTGAACAAAAGGATGTGTTTGGTGTTTGGTGAGTATTTCCATACACTAAGCAAATGGCTTGAGGTGACCAAAGAAAAAAACAGAAATAATTTTTAAATAATTACCTACCTTTTCAGTTATCTCATTTGCTCACTTTTTTTTCCCCAAATGGGAGTTCCTTCACCATTAGAGGATGAAACTTTCTCATTGCTTTCCCAACCATCCCCCAAATAAAGTTAGATATGTAGATGTAGTATCTAGTTTAAAATATTAAGCAAGGAGAAAGTGATATAAGATTCATGTCTGATTTAAAAGGGAACAAAACAGAAAAAGGCAAAATGATAAGGAAAATAAAATCATAATGACTTCTTCACCCTCCTGCAGGGAGTTTAAATTGATCAGGGGGAGGCAGGCGGTGGAATGTCAAAATCTACTATGTTGAACTTTTTTTGCACTTTCTCTGTGAGAATTGAATCATTGGGTCACCACCAGCTGAGGTTGGAATTGATATTAGCAAGATTGACTGCTTGCACAAATCTCATTAGGGTCCACTGATGGCCCTAGTGTCTTCTGTATCTTTCTGCAACCATTGCTGATTTCATTTCAAGCCATTTGCTTTGGATAAAGATGACAAAAGGCAGCAATTGAAAAACAACAACAAAACTCTGAAATGACTATCACAGGCAATGGAGCAGTTGCAAAGAAAAGAACCGCAAACCAAAGCAGTAACTTACGGTAGCTACTTTCGCTATCGCTGGCATTAGAAGAAACATGTTCTGCAAGAACAGCACAGCAAATTAAAGAGATACCAAGCATTGAAATGCAGCCAGAACGGAAAGAAATACACGCATGCAAGGCTACTAGAAATGTGAGCAAAAGGCAAGTCAAAGGCCGCAGAGTAGATTGCATTAAGAAAATTCAGGTAAGATAAAGAAGATGAAAACTTTATCGCCATTTTACAGGAAACTGCTGCTTGATTGCTGTTTCCTCCTTTTAGCAAACAAGGAAAGTATCTTTAATTAAAAAATGAATGTCAACCTACACAATTTTCTTTGTGTAAATACTATATGACCCATTCCTACAGCTGAATTTCCAGATTCATGTTACAAAGGCCAATGTGTCTCAACTGAATATCTTCTTAACTATAAATCCAGGAGCTTCAGGTAGGCAGGTACTATTTTCTTGCAGGCATTTCTCTATTTGGGCCTTTAATTATTCTCTAGGAACACTGAATCACCAATTGATCCCTGGAATTTTTTGAATTTTGTTTCTACTTAAATACTTCATAAACTAATTCTCAGGCTGAAAGGGAGGCTTGAAGATCTTTCCTGTTTTAGTGAGTGCATAGAAAAATCTTGGAAGAAAGAAGTCACTGAATATGTTTTGTGAATTAGTTCAGTATTTTCTTGTTTTTATATTAAGAGCTTTGCCTGGATAGCTATTGGGTTTTGTGGGTATGACTAGGCAGTCGTTAAATGGCCTGATGCTCAGGCTGGTTCTAGCATGAAGTCTGTCATTAATTGATTCTGAATAATGTGCTCATAGAGTGACATTCCGAATTGTTTTTTCATACAAATACAACTTAGCTAACATAGCAGGGATGTGTGTACTGGTTACGTGCCAGAATTAGCACTTTCATTTCTAAAGTCATTTGCTTTTATCTGTACTATTTAAATTATAGATGATCAAATCATCAACATTTTTGTATATCACTTTAGTTAAGTATATGAGACTATTTGATTTCTGAAGCTCATTGGTAATAACTTCAGCTTTTAAAAAAATTGACCTGTCGTACGGTTGACACGAAAGAGGAAAAAGTATAACATTATGTTCTAATAGTGAAAAAGCACTTTAAAATGCTTAGATATTATGTATTCTTGCCAGTTATACAGACTTGTTTTGCTGCATGAAACTCATGAAAACTGAAGTATGTTAAATTTACACAAATCGTTTCTGCATTGCTAATTGGGCACACATGTTCTAAGTGCAAAGGGGCACTGAGAAAGAAGTGTGAATGCATCTGTGCAAGTCTGTTTTCTATCACTGAATGACCATCAAGACCAACAATGGTGTGTTTTCACAGGCATTATTATCTTAAGTACTTTGAACTGGGGGTTATGAAGATTTTTATTGATGTTCAATATTAATAATATATTAAAACATTTCCTTTTCCCTCCCAAATTGAAAATTTACAAACTCTCTCTGATGATGCTTGATACTATGGCAATAATGTTGAAAATAGCATTTGAATTTTACCCACTAATTCAAGAAAAATTTCATCATATTCTTGTAATGTTTCAAAGATAAAGTTTTCATCTTTAAAGAGATCAGTACTCCCGATCAGATTTTGTTTTCTATGTATACATATCTAAAAACCACTCTAAATGAACAACTTGAAGTATGAAAGGTATTATGTGGGATTATGTAAACAGCCCTTGAAAACAATGCTATTGTTTTATAAAATGACATGAACAGCTTATAAAAATATCACCCATAGCTGTCAAAATAAAATTGAACATGTGATACAACTGCAAAAGACACAAAATTCTGTTCTTATTTCATTGGTGCCTACACAATAGGATTAGTATTAAAGAAAGAAAAATCATAGCATATTGATACATAGGAAAATTAGTTTTAATTGCTAAATGCAATAAGACACAGACTGAAAACATGAATAACTAGGATGTAAAGGTCTAATACATATAATTTTTGTTCTATGCTACAAAAGACTTGATTATATAATGCAGCTAATTAATCACTGATAGAAAAAGATATTAATACATATCTAAAACTTTATCATACAAACGTTTCAAGCAGGATCACTGCAAGTCAGAAAAGATCAAAGTTAATGACAAAGAATTATTCATGGAAGATCAAATAGCTTAATGTTTATTTTTCAAGAATGCATGTTCCTTTTGACTACAGAGTAGCTCCTTTACTAATAGCAAAGTACAATTTGATTATGAAATTTGGCAAGCTAATTAAATATTTCCATGTGAAAAGGCAGAAGAAAGAACATAAAGTATATTTCTACTTTGCTTTTCTAGGACATTTAGCTCACCCTTTCTTGCAACATGGTTTCTTGCTCTCTGGGGAAGAATTAGGCAGTAGAGCAAGTGATGCTATGGTGAGCATCAGGACCATGTTGGCCATATCACATGGTCAGAAAGGGAAGGAGTTAAGTGCAACAGAAGTTAGAGTGCCTGACACACTTTGCTTTTAAATGCTGACATGCAGAACAAAACGATTGAAAATTATTTTGTAGGAGCATTCACAGCTAGGTAACAAATAAAACTCGTATCTTGTGCATGCTAGGAGTGAAAGGCCCTCAAGAAAAGGAACAAAAGCCAAACTCAAAAGGAAAGGAAAAGAAAAGAAAAGTTACAGTGACCATTCCTGGAAACTTACTCAGAGTCTTTGTTCCATAACCGTCGTCACCTAATCCGGGGATGTCCTGCATGGAAGTCCCCAGAGAGAGCAATGAGAGAGGAAGAACAGCCACGGAAGAGGAAGGAAGAAGTCAGTGGAGTTGAAATGGATACTACCATGACAGACCGTGTTGCCTAAACAATCTGGATCCCACTCTGTGCTTTTAAAACAACTTTTACCCCAAACTCCCTGGGCTGAGACTTAAGAAAGAAATTGCTGATTTGGAAAGCAACTCCAAAGGTATAAGCAGAAGTCTGAAAACATAAAAAGAGGGAGAAAAGAAAGATTTGGCAAATGCCATCTGTTAACATTGCCACAGAAATGTGCCTCTTAGAGGAACGATCCCCTCCATGTTTCATATCAAATTCTGAGACTTAGTGTCCACCAACACAAGCTCACTGCTGAGAGAGTATTTAATATTTGCTGGGAGGGAAAGAGGGAGCCAATATGCCAGAATCAACAAAGGTAATTTAATTGCTCCTGGTTAGTGAGCGTTTCAAAAAGTTTATGCAGTAATGGAATCCAATATTTCTGCCCAGAAGGGAAATCAGTCTCAAGCCCTTACATGAGAGAAAAGGCAAATCATACCCATTTCTGGTCAAAGGTAAAGGCTGGTTAGATGCGAAGTCCCAGCTTCCATATCTCCCTTGCCAAAGCATTCTACAAAGAAGAGCCACAGGAAGGGAAGGATCCAGACTGCAGTCAAACACTGGTCACAGTAGTAAGACCTGACCTGCCTGCCTGCTGTGTTGTTTGCCTAGCGTGTGGCGTGAGAGAGCCTACATCATGCGTGTTGCCCGTGAAGGATTTTTTTTTCCTCTTGTGTTGCATGTGACATTATCTTGGAGAATCTACTTACGTTCAGGATCACTGGTTTCCTGCTCACTCTGCTCCTTGTTCTTGTAGAATGGGAATTTTCGTGAAAAGATGAAGCTCTTTTTACGCTTGTCATTGAATGACTGTGAAGGAGAAAAGGCATGGGGCAAAAACAGGGGACGTCTAATTGTTGTCACACTCATGCTGACAAAACAACTAGTTTGTAAAAGCAGAGACAGCTGTAGTGACGCAAGTGGATATTCCACAGAGGTGCCATGGTGTTCTAAAGGCAGATTTTCTTTTCAAGGAGTGTAAATTCTGAATGATGACACCTTGGAAAAATCGCCTCATAATCAAAAGCCTGCTCAGAGATAAACGGTGATGGAGGGAATGAGTATTCAATTGGAAGACCCAGAGTCTTTGGCTCTGTATCTTGCTAGTCCATCACCTCTGACAAGTAACTGAATCTCTCTGAACCTCAGTATCTTCATCTGTAAAAGGTGATGAAGATACTGGGATGTGAGACTTGTACAAGACAATAATGTAAACAAATAGAGCTAGGAAAATGGCATCTTACCATCAGGTGGAAAAGACTATTAGAGAAACTAGTTTTCTTCTCTGTGTTTAGTTACCTTATTTTTATTTTTTAAATTTTGAGTTACTTCTGCTTGAATTTAATTGAAGTATACAGAGAAGAATGTAGATTTATGATATATGATAATTATAGTCTCACACACAGATATATGATAATTATAGCATTTCTATTCAAATGATAACTTAAAAATAATTTAAGGAGCCAGGGCACAAAGAGGTTGAGTCCCATGCCAATATCACAGAACTAGTTGGTGACAGTCAGGAGACAGTCAACCAAAAGCTGTTAAAATTGCTGCTAAATTGGCATTAACTTGATATTCACTCAGCCAAGGGGAAGTGACAGTCACTCATCTATATTCCGATAAGATAAAAATAATGTAGAATGACTGTCTTTTAATGTGTAAACTCCTCCATTAGCTTACATGAGATGAGGTCAAGTTAAAAATAACACCTACATACATAATATTGAAATTATTCATTCCAGTGACTATACTGTAGTCATCTGAAATACTTAAAAAAATTCCACTTATTCCACCATTGCTGATATTTATATGAATGCTTTGAGGTGTTCTTTGGGAAATGTGTTCACGATCATTTTTCAAGCTATAAGCCTTGTAAGTCTTATTAATTTTATATTCATATGTCATTGAAAAATGTTTCACCAGCTTGATTACCATCCTGATTTGATTGCTTTGGTACTGAGAGTCTATTCACTTCATAAGAAAGTTATAATCACTCCCCACACAGGTTTTAAAATCCATGTGCTGATGGCTCTAAAGGACTCTCTAAAGGGTATTCTCAAACAGTGTTAAGTGTGGTAGCAATGGCAGTTGGGGGGAATAACTGCAGAGCAAGCAGGGAGCCTTGAAAGAAAGGAGCCTTGCTTGGAAGTATGCACTTTCTCCCATTGGTTGGACACTGTCAAGGGCTCTTTAATTTGAAGCTTGATGAAATTGTGCAAATGACTTACTACTCTCTTTGTGTATTCATGCACTCTTATATCAAATATCCATTTTGACATTGAGAAAGCATTAAGGTACTAAAATGTTAGTGCTGTCATTCAGTAAGTTATTTGTCACTTTTTTAGGTACTAGGAATTCGCCAAAGTCAACTGAGCTTAATTTTATGTCACATTAGGAAGGTTTTGTGAAAAACAACAAAATATTTAATAATTTTTGAAGTCAGGGGACAAATTTTATACTTATGTGAAAGAGCTAAGGAAAAAAACTTACTTTAGAAGTTATTACTCTGCTGACAGTACCTGTGTTCAGTATAGTTTTATCGTAATTTGTAATTGAAGATTAGTGTCCAAAGACTAGGTTGGGAATAGCCCCCAAGTTTTCCCAGGTAAGAATGATAAACCTTAAAGGAACATTAAATATTCTTGCATCACTACAGTTTCATGCCACTTTTACATTTCAAGCATATTTAAACTTCAGTAACTGAAAATAAAAGAAAAAAATATGTAAGTAATGGTATGTGATATTTGCAAGGCATGTTAGACATTTATCTTCAACAGCACAGATGACTTTTCATGCAAAAATTATGAATTTTCATGCAAATACAAAACAATGCCAAGAGGAGGAAAGCTTGGGGTGATACATACAAACAGATGTATAAAGTAGAGGCCATTGGGTCCTAAAATGGGATTGCATGCAAATCATATTAAATTGTCTAAAGGGTCAAAGGAAAATGAAATGGTGTTGTCTGTGATTAATTCTTTTATGTTTCAAAGCAAGGACTGTAACGTGTTAACATTTCCCAAATATGAAAATGTTGTGTGTCATGAGTTATCTGATTGGGACATAATACTTAGCACCACACTTTTTAAGAGAACAGAAAAGTACCTAATACCTCAGAAATTATCTAACATAGTCTTATTAGCAAATGCCATTTTGCATTAGAATTAAAGAGAAGGTAAAAAATTATTTGGGTTACATTTCCTCACATTCTGGACACAAAACCAAATCAAAATTTTAGCTCACACAGACTTAAAAAGTCATGTTTAGGGTCTTAAACATTTCAACTCTAAAAGACTATATGTGGTTTATAATGCTCTAATATTATTCTTTATTTTTATTAGACAGGTATAAGACTATTATGGAAGCTTTTTGTTGCTGCAATTGGTTTTTTAATATAGAAAGGAAAATTTGCAACAAGAGTGCTTAGGTGAAAGTAATAAATTAGTGAGCACTTTTGCTATTTATAGAATGCATGATTCTAAAGTCACTGAAGGCCAGTTTACAGCTTTCTTCTTAATCATACTTGATCAATGCTGTTCTTCCTACATTACAGCATCTTCAATCATGCTCTATCGTTATCATGGCAGGAAATGTCTTTGAATAGAGACTTCAAAAATACTAATTAAATGTGTAAGTTGGCATATGTTAAGAATTCTTCTTTGGAATTTGACCTAAATTACTGTGCTCTTATGAATTAAAGTGATAAAATAATACCTAACATTTATTGAGCACTGTGTGTCAGGCTTGGTCCTAAATACTCTATCTTTGCTAATTTCATGAATTTTTATGCTTGCCCATACAGATAGTAAGTAGTGAAGTCAGAAAATGTATTTGCAAATATTCCTGGTTGCAAATATTGTTGTTCTTATGAGCACAAGACATTTCTGCAATCTTAGCCTGCTTCAAGTTTATAATTAAAATTATTGGCATTTAAGTGATATTGCAATCTGTCTAAATCTAAATCTTCACTGCTTATCGACTACTTAAGCCATCAGATACTACTGAATTCAATATATCTTTTGATCACGCTGCTACAATTTTCTGGATACCTATTCACATTTTTGAAGGCTTTATCACATTTTTTAAATTCTTATGATAATGAGAAAAAAATTCAGTGGTACAGGTCATGCATGGCAATTTAAAGAAAATTTGACAGGCAAATCTATAGCAAAAAGTAAATTGGTGGTTGCTTAGGGCTGGGGGCACAGGGAGCAGAGAGTGGAAACTAATGGGAATGGGGTTTCTTTTAGGGGAGATAAAAATGTTCTAAAATTATATTGTGGTGATGGTTGTAGAATCCTATACATATGCTAAAGCACACTGAATTGTATACTTTGAGTGGGTGGACAGTATCCTTTGTGAATTACATCTCAATAACTTCATTTTAAGAAAAAGAACCCCTCCCCAACCCCACACCATGAGATGAAAGGAAACAATGAGTAGGTTTTCTCATTTTATTTGATGTAAATAGTTTAAAATCTTTAATTGAGTGAGAAGAAACCATCCTTTCTAACCCTTGAAATCAGGCAGCGATGTCTTTTGTTTATCTGATTTTGTTCTATCTCAGTTAAATGAATACCCTTCATGTTGTGACAGACATTAGAATACCCGCATCCTATCACTGTCTCTCAGAAGTTGCCAGTTTTTAGGCCAAATAGCATGAAATTGCCCATCCTGACACCAAGATGTAAGGCATTGGTGAGATGGCTTAAGATAAAATACATGCTCCATGAAGAAAGAAAACAAGACAAAAAACAATTACTCTTTTTTCCACTAAAATTCCACACCCTTCAGGACACATGAGTAGATATTGACATATATCCTTTCATACAGAAAACTTCAAAACTAGGAATACGATCAGTTTTTCTTCTCA